GCATCTGCTGCGGATTCCAGTTGATGAACAAGGTGTTTGGCGGCTCGGCGGAGAAACGCAAAAAAGAAGGCGAAAATGCGACTCAGCTTACTATTACTGTGAACAACCAGAATCCTCTTTTTAGGTAAACCACTGCTTGACACTGCCTACTGACATTTCCCACTTAATACTAATCAACTGCATCTTTTTACACTTCAGCAATCTAGATCCCCAGCAGGAAGTGCTATTGCTTCACGGCGATTTAATCTCAACGGTAGCCAACGGCTTTGAGGTTGTGGGAAAGTCAGAAAACGTCATCGTCGGTAAGCCTTTTTGTTCCCGTCTTTTCCTCAGTAGCTCATCATTTGTTGTTGTTTTGGCAGCCATTGCAAATGTGGAGAAGAAACTGTACGGTGTTCAGTTTCACCCTGAAGATGACCGTTCTAAAAACGGCAAAGAGATGTTGAAGAACTTTCTATTCAACGTAGCCGGCCTCTCGGGCAACTTTACCCTGAAGTCTCGAGTAGACAAAAGCATCGACCGCATTTGCCAGTTAGTGGGCACGAACAAGGTTTTTGTAAGTTTGGTGTTATTTTAAATCTTTGTTAACTAATGGCCAACAAATTGCGTGTTAGGTGCTGGTCAACGGTGGCGTCGACTCGGTGGTCAGTGCCACTTTCCTGCAGAAGGCACTCAAAGTCGACCAGGTGATTGCTCTGTACATTGACAATGGCCTCATGCGCAAGAACGAGAGTATCTTGGTGGAGGACTCACTGAAAAGCGTCGGTCTCGCCATGATAAGTATGTCAATGTAGTGTAACGCTTAGCAAACTCTAAATTGACCTTCCTTACCTCATTTTTGTAGCTATCAAGGCCTGGCTGCAATTCTGCAACGCCACAACAACAATTTCCCTCTCAAAAGAGGAACCGAATAAGAAAGTGGTCACAAAGGTGCTCTGCCAGACGACGGTTCCGAAGGAGAAGCGCCACATCATCGGGAACACCTTTGTCCGTTCATTCTCAACGACATCGTCTGCGACCATTTGAAATCGAATTTAGGGCAAACAGTTTTTTTCAGCCAGGGAACCGCTTTCAAAGTACTAAACATG